CATGAGTCTGACCCCCTCCAACCAAAGACTCATTTATCACCTTTCAGCTTCAGCTTTGTTTATTAACCCAAGTCTGCAACACATAAAGAAGACTCTTCGAGGCACACAAGAAATCATCAATTCAGCTTGCTTAAAACCTAACATTGTCATCATTTTTATTTTAATAGATAATTTAGAATTACAATATGGTGCCACTGGCCATCTGACTTGTTGCTTCTCTCAATCATTTCATTGGTCTTAGGTCTTTCAAAAAGGTGGATACTTGGTTATATATAACCAAGGGTGAAAAGGCTCATTCTTTTCACCCTTTAAACTATTAACGAGCTGTAATTTGTGCACAGAATGTCTTTAAATGCACCAGCACAGCTTTCTAAAAGTGTAGCTCAAAACTGCTCCAGTACCAGGAGCTTGCTTAAGTAAATGTACTTAGTTATTTTCCAAAACGACTATGTTGTTGGTGTGGACTGTAATATAAAAAGGTGTTTCTGTGAAAAATGACCTGGGAGAACTGGGAGATCCTTTGTCAGGAGCCTTACATATATAAGCTTTAGCTGTACTTTAGTATTTTGTCAGCATTGTACAGTAGCTGAATAAACCTTTGTGAAGTTAGGCCTACATTGCACTACCTGCAGTAATTTTTACAGTGCCTTGCGAAAGTATTCGGCCCCCTTGAACTTTGCGACCTTTTGCCACATTTCAGGCTTCAAACATAAAGATATAAAACTGTAATTTTTTGTGAAGAATCAACAACAAGTGGGACACAATCATGAAGTGGAACGAAATTTATTGGATATTTCAAACTTTTTTAACAAATAAAAAACTGAATAATTGGGCGTGCAAAATTATTCAGCCCCTTTACTTTCAGTGCAGCAAACTCTCTCCAGAAGTTCAGTGAGGATCTCTGAATGATCCAATGTTGACCTAAATGACTAATGATGATAAATAGAATCCACCTGTGTGTAATCAAGTCTCCGTATAAATGCACCTGCACTGTGATAGTCTCAGAGGTCTGTTTAAAGCGCAGAGAGCATCATGAAGAACAAGGAACACACCAGGCAGGTCCGAGATACTGTTGTGGAGAAGTTTAAAGCCGGATTTGGATACAAAAAGATTTCCCAAGCTTTAAACATCCCAAGGAGCACTGTGCAAGCGATAATATTGAAATGGAAGGAGTATCAGACCACTGCAAATCTACCAAGACCTGGCCGTCCCTCTAAACTTTCAGCTCATACAAGGAGAAGACTGATCAGAGATGCAGCCAAGAGGCCCATGATCACTCTGGATGAACTGCAGAGATCTACAGCTGAGGTGGGAGACTCTGTCCATAGGACAACAATCAGTCGTATACTGCACAAATCTGGCCTTTATGGAAGAGTGGCAAGAAGAAAGCCATTTCTTAAAGATATCCATAAAAAGTGTCGTTTAAAGTTTGCCACAAGCCACCTGGGAGACACACCAAACATGTGGAAGAAGGTGCTCTGGTCAGATGAAACCAAAATCGAACTTTTTGGCAACAATGCAAAATGTTATGTTTGGCGTAAAAGCAACACAGCTCATCACCCTGAACACACCATCCCCACTGTCAAACATGGTGGTGGCAGCATCCTGGTTTGGGCCTGCTTTTCTTCAGCAGGGACCGGGAAGATGGTTAAAATTGATGGGAAGATGGATGGAGCCAAATACAGGACCATTCTGGAAGGAAACCTGATGGAGTCTGCAAAAGACCTGAGACTGGGACGGAGATTTGTCTTCCAACAAGACAATGATCCAAAACATAAAGCAAAATCTACAATGGAATGGTTCACAAATAAACATATCCAGGTGTTAGAATGGCCAAGTCAAAGTCCAGACCTGAATCCAATCGAGAATCTGTGGAAAGAACTGAAAACTGCTGTTCACAAACGCTCTCTATCCAACCTCACTGAGCTCGAGCTGTTTTGCAAGGCGGAATGGGCAAAAATTTCAGTCTCTTGATGTGCAAAACTGATAGAGACATACCCCAAGTGACTTACAGCTGTAATCGCAGCAAAAGGTGGCGCTACAAAGTATTAACTTAAGGGGGCTGAATAATTTTGCACGGCCAATTTTTCAGTTTTTTATTTGTTAAAAACGTTTGAAATATCCAATAAATTTCGTTCTACTTCATGATTGTGTCCCACTTGTTGTTGATTCTTCACAAAAAATTACAGTTTTATATCTTTATGTTTGAAGCCTGAAATGTGGCAAAAGGTCGCAAAGTTCAAGGGGGCCGAATACTTTCGCAAGGCACTGTATGTATGTGTGTGTAATATATCTGAAATATATAATATATATACATCTATATCTAACATTATTTAGGACTATCTATGTAACTATATCTATCTAGTGTTATCTAACTGTGTAACTATTTCATCTATTTCTCTATGTAACTATTGATCTATCTTTCTATCTACACTGATTCTCCACTAAATACACAATCTGCTACAACACTACTAACTCTCAAAGCAATGTGCTCTGCAAAGAAAAATTCAAATGAAGTCACTAAATAGGGATATCCTGTCCCTGAACACACTCTATCCCGTAAAGTGATTCAGATGACAAACCGAACCAATCAGCTGATTTGTATGACGTCCGATGAACCGAACTGCTTCGAACATCACTCAAATGCTTCAAACGTCACCAGTCACATGACTAAAACGCTTGACACACTAGTTGATACAATTGCTTCATGAGCTACCGCGCATGTGTAGGAGCCTCAGGTGTCAGAGGACCATCACTACTAATACGTAAAAACTGAACTTGAAACTGTTAAAAATAACAAAATGCATATATAGTCAGCAAAAAGTAATGATACATGTGAAACAGTTATCTAAAGGTAATGGACAAATAATTAAAACAGCTAGCTAAAAGTAGTGAATAGAATTAGCATTAAATAGATAAAAGTAGTGGTTAAATGGTTAAAATACAGGTAAAGGCGATAGGTAAATGAATGAAATAAATACCTAAAAGTAATAGATGGACTTAAAATAGTCTACTTTGCTAAAGATGAATAAATGACCAAAATGACTAAATGTAATGGATACATGGAATGTTCATTGAAATGAGATAAATGGGGATTAAAACAGAGTGCTTAAGAACTAGAGACCTGTACAAGTCTGTATAATCTGTACAATGTATATTTACAGGTATTGCACTGAGGGTTATTGTCCAATCATACTGTCGTGGGTTAAGTGTCCATCAGAGCTACAGCCTGGGGGAAGAAACTGTCCCTGTGCCTGGTTGTCTTGGTGTACAGTGACCTGTAACGCCGTCCAGAGCGGAGGAGTTCAAACAGATTGTATCCAGGGTGTGAGGGGTCAGCAGTGATCCTCTCCCCCCTCCTTTTGACCCGTGAGGTGTACTGGTCCTACATGGAGGACAGGCTCACACCAATGACCTTTTCTACAGTCCTCACTGTCTGCTGAAGTCTGTACTTGTCCTGTTTGGTTGCTGAGCCAAACCAGACAGTCATGGAGGTGCAGGGAACAGACTCGATGATTCCTCTGTAGAACTGTATCAGCAGATCCTGGGGCAGGTCGAACTTCCTGAGCTGGTACAGGAAGTACATCCTCTGCTGTGCCTTCTCAATGATGGCCCTGACGTTGGACATCCACTTCAGGTCCTGGGAGATAGTGGAACCCAGGAACTTGAAGGACTTTATTTATTTCTTGTTTTAATCAAATATCAAAATTGAATTGATCCTGTGTAATTCTTGTGTTTATGTTCCTATTTTGTTTTATTCCTGTATTGATCTTATTTATTTTAGTTCTTACCTGTCCTTGTAAAGTACTTTGGTCAACCAGACGTTGCTTTTAAAGTGGATATAAAAATAAATTTTGATTTGATTTGAATTTCTCCTTTATTTTAAATTTGAAATTACCCAGTGTCAGGTAGATTTCTGTTTCCCTGCTACGTTCTGAGAGAATGTGAGTGCCAGAAGATACAGGAACTAGTATGGTTCAAGTGAGAGGCCATGTTGGAAAGGTAGGCTTCTGGTAATATGGTTAGCTGTTTGTACTTCAGGTCGTTGCCTCTGGGTGGCACTGTCTTAACGTGTAATAACATCAGCTAGACTAAATAAAAGGTTTAACATGCAAGCTGAGAAGTTTATAAAAAATCTGGTAGGCACTTGCGGGCTAACATGTTATTTATCCTAATAAGAGTATGAGATGGCTGATTGTAGGAATACCCAGACCAACAATTTGTTCACATTATTCATATTCATATTTACTGAAACCTGAGATTATGCCTTCAAGACACAAAAAGTGCATGAATATGTTTCTATTTCTTGCTTGGGTGTCAATATAGAGCTTTAGTAGAGTAAGCTAATATTGAGACAGAATGACAGACAGACTATCAGATAGATACGCAAATTTATGCACATCGCACACAAATACAGCTTGTCTGCCAAAAAGCCTCTTCAACTTCAGCATTTTATCTATGAGATAAAACAGAGCTGAATAGGTTAGTAAGGTTGCCAGTGGAGAGAAGGAATGGAGCAAGAGAGAGAGAGGGAGTGGGAGAGGGGGAGAAGGAGAAGCGGGAGGGAGAAACAGTGATGATAAAACTCCACTGTGAGCCCTCCTGTAAGCTCAGTCAGAGAGCAAAGGAGCAATTGAGACTAGAGGGACTGGGACTGCAACAGCGCAGGCAAAGAGAGACCTACAATGCATGGCCTTGGACATGATGATATGCTGGGACAGTCAGTAGGGAGCACCTGAGTTGGGACAGCCAGGAACAGAAGAGCACAGTGCTGCCTGGGAAGTTTTTGTGTATTGAACCAGTTTGTAAGTTTATACTTCAAGGCGAAGAGAAGACTGGGCAAAAACTGGACCTCCTGTCATCTCCTCTTGGGCCCTGTTCAGTCTACATCCCCGTGGTGGAATGGTTTGTGGCCAGGCAGGTTGATTTGGAAAACAGCATCTTTTAATGAAAGACCAGCTTTTGTGGAACTTGCAGGTTTTCCAGCTACCACACCACTTAGCTGGATCCAGTGTTTGGTGTGAGAAACAGCTGGGGGAAAACAGAATATTGCCATCCATCTCTAGCCGTCCCAGAGCCCACCCTCAGCTTTGACGCCCCTCCTCTCTGCCTCCTCTTTTGCCCCCTGCACCTTCACCCTCCATTCACACACACCTCACCCCCCAACAGAGCAGAAAGCGTGAAAAATCTCACTAATGGGTTTATTTGCTGTCAGATCTGCGCCGATCTGTCATTCCCTTGGACCATTCTGCTTGACACATTTCATAGTTGAGTAAGCCTCCTGCAACGCTGTGCTGGCTGAGAGCTCATCAAGAGGGGAGCAACAGCAGCAGCAGTCAGTCTGACAGTGCCTTGGACAGGGAGTCCCTGAAGCTGCATTCCACTGATCTCCTTCTCCCGTTGGGACTTTGTGTTTGTGTGAGCCTTGTGGGCATCCTCAGCTTCTGTCTAATCACACAGCTGGTTCTACCCACAGGTTTTTGGTTTTTGTTTGTTTGTTTTACTGGGATTCTGGTGCTGATCAAAACAGTGTGAAGATGTGGTGTGGGGCTGGGCCTCTGGCTGTGGTGGCTGCAGTTTTTTGGACTCAGTGTGTCCTACTAGACGGGGTGGATGCCAAGAAGGAGAGAAAGAGGCCAAAGGAGGCCACACCACAACACACAGAGACATACAATGCTACTCTTTCGAACAGTGAGGAGGTCGGTGGAAGCATCAAGGTAGAGACTGAAAACTCACTTTAAATATAAACATTTAAATCTTAAAATGACTTTTTGGATCTTTTAGGTTTGTTTTACAATTGCTATGAGCTGCTTCCATCACATACAGACACATGTACACAATATCACATGTAGAAAAACTATAGTGCAGTTTGAAGTTTGAAGTCAACCTGCAGCTATGTAAAATATGTATAGTCTTATGTCAGCAGGGGCAATATTTAGGGCAAATAAAGTGTGGCAAAGGTAAATGCCAGGACAAGACAGGTGTACCCGACTTGGCCAAGCCTCAGACCAAAATGTGAGAAACTCTAAATGGATGATTTCCGGAGCTATGACAGGAATGTGCACATCTAAAGGCTGATCAGTGCATCAATTAGCGCTCGCTGTGGGGTCTGCTATCAGTTTTTCATCCTATGTGAACAATTCAGGACATAGACTTTCAAATATAATATAAGATGAGCTGAGAGGATATTTTCATATATATCATATCTGCAGCAGGGAATTCAGTTTTAAACAGAACAAATGAAGATGAAAAATAAAACATTTTATGTTTCTATTAGCTTTAGAGAATTGTGAGTATGACAAATTGTGATCTGTAACTGCAGACCAGTGTTGTTTTTATTAGAAGCATATTACTCAGCATCACGGTGGTACATTTCCATTTTGTTGGCCCTTTTCTTCGTCATTTGTTGGTTTATTGCTGGTGTTGCTAGATGCAAGGGTTTCCAACAGGCTGTTTGTTTTTGTTTTCAGCCCACCCATGATGTTGGCATTCTCGTATAACTCTCACTGCCCTATATACCAGCCTTCACTTCAGCTCCCACCAACAGCCAGTCTGTGGATTCCTAACGTAACCTCCACCGCATTTTTTCCCCCCTTGAAACCAAGCAGTGAGGTCTCCTTTGTACCTTTAAGAACACATTGTAGGTCATTGCGGGCTGTGGTGTTTATTTGACTTGGTTCGCCCTGTAAAAGCAGCGGCTATGATGGATGACCTCATGTCAACCCCCAAGCCTGGTGAAGATTGCACCCCACTGGGATTTCACTCCTCTGTCTCATCCCATAGGGAGTAGAGTGTCTTCACAAACACATTTTCCCCTGCGGTCCCTTACAGCCCCACTGCCATGATGTAACTCCTGGGAAAGTTAGGTGGGCAGATATTTAAAGACCTATGGCAGTGTTGTTCCCAGCTCAATGATTCTGTCATTCACAGGCCTAGTCTGACTCCGCTGTGTCTGGGACATCCGATAGGGGCGGTGCCGCCCCGAGAACTAAGGCAGCATGCTGTGTAAGCCCCTCACAAAGCCCCATAGAAAGAGTCCTGAAAGAGAACACCTCGGTGAGGATTAGCCCTCTGTGCCTCCCTCTCTAACATTCTTTTAATCTCGTCTCCCACAATCTGAGGGTAATGACATAATTACTCTTAAGACACAGTGTAATGCCAGATAGCATCTTTGCCAAACACTGTCACTTCTGACGAGAACCTGCGCTATAAGCTTGACATCTGTGGCAGCGTGTTTGTTGGTTCCACTCTATCCAGATTTTTGCTTCAGAAAAAAAAAACCACACACCATGAACAGTGGTAAACTTGCTTTTCTCGGGTAGTTTATCCTATTACACATCTGTTAGCTCCCAGACAAAAACAACATGTCCATTGGAGCTGTCTTGGCAAGAAATTTGTTCTCAAACAAGCCAAACATTTACACTCAACATTTACATTTTTTCCCTTGTGCCCAGTGAAAACAGCTCTTATGATGGCATTCACTTTCTATCTGACCAATCCCATGTGTGGGCTGTTGACAGCGTGCAGTCATACGCTGCATTCCTGGTGGATTTTCTTAAAATGAGATGATGATAACTGAAAGTACATTTCAAACAACTGTGATCTCTGTGAATCATCATGTTGTACAGTTTTAGAGCAGTATGTCAGAGCTATGCATTTGTAAGTCTTATTGCTCTCCACTCTAAAGATGAGAGGAATCTGTCATTGTTGAGGGCATTGAGGGATCTGTGATGGCTATAACTGAGGGAGTCAAGTCAAACATCACGCCCAGCGTGTTGAGTAATGTCTGGGTTTAGCCCGAGGCAAGGGTTTTTGTTTCCTCTCGTGCATCCCCAGTGATGATTAATGCAGTGTGGGACATTTTGGATCAACCTACACATAAGAGACAACACAGAATCCCACAGAGAACAAAGCCACTGAGAGAGCACACACCTCCATTGGTGTGAACTAACTATAGTCTGTATTACATGATAATAAAGCTTATATCAAGCTTATATAACATAATGAAATCATCTGAAAGAGTGCAAAAAAGAATAAACAGTCTTGTCATTATATCTGAAAATTGCAAGTAACATAAACTGCACAGCATGTGGGTTTTCACCTCACACTGTTTTATTTGGATTTTGTTTCACTTATAATACTGTGATGCCAGATTTATAAAAATCCTTTAATCTCGCCTGATTCGTATCATGTGCTGGTCTTGTTCCTGAAACCACGATTTCAGAATTATTGCTACACTTTACAATAGCACTGGTTAGTCCACAGAAGATTTATTTATTTATTGACAATGGATCTTTGCAGTCTCTGATTTATCCTGCAGATGCATGTGATGTACTCTGTAGAGTGGAGTAAAGATTCACAGTAATTCTACAGCTGTCAGTGTTGTAACTGTCAAATATTTAGTGCAGCAAAGAGTTTGAGATTTTGAGAAATATGCTTATTTGCTTTAATCCCAACACTGGTAGCACTTTCACATCTCTCTTGTAACTAAGGGGCTAGAGCCAACAGCTAGTTAGCATACTGGTAACAGCTAGCCTGTCTCTGTCTCAAGGTAAGGAAATAGCAAAAGCTTGAAACCTCATAAATCACGTAATTCTATCTTGTTTATTTAATACATGCAAAACTCAAAATGTAAAAACAATATTTTGTGGGTTTATAGGGACATATCTGAGATAGAACTATCTCACTGGTGATTTTCAACAGCTCATTTTACCTGCCACAGGGAAAAGGAGCATTCACTCAAGTTTCAAAGCTATAATTTGTACACAACACAGATGCGACACAGTGATCAAGGTTTCTTTCAGCTGATATTGCCTTTTATAATAAGAGGGAGCCAAGGCTGTCTCTGGCAAATTTATTTATTTTTTTAGACCTAAACACAAATGTATTCACTTTCTTCAACCCATGATAAGAGCAAATACATCTTTGTTTGGGCAAAAGCATCTTAAAATCAGGCCATACAGTTAGACGTTGCATGTCTAACTGTATTTAGCTTTTTGGCAATAAATCCTCAAGGCAGTCTCTTTCTGTGAAGTGCAGCGGAGGGGAACACAGGGGTGGATGCATGACAGTTGGGATGCATGCAAGTTACCAGGATCCCCTCATCCCACACAGCTTTGGGTTTCCTGCCTCCTGGGGTGGGATCGGCCTGTTGGGCCTGTCCACCGATGCATGCACCTCTGTGTGCAACAGTTTTATCAGCAGCAAAAAGTTTCATGTCATCTTGTGTGTACAAACAGGGAGTAAAACAGATAACACATGAATGAAAAAAGAAGTTCAACTCTACACATGCAAGAATTCAGTGGAGTAGAGTTTCGGTATTTGGTTGCAGCCCAAGAGACACGTTTTAACAGTTTTTGTTTTGTTTTGTTTTTTTTTTTTTTGTGCATGCTGCCCCAGGGACATAGTTTGCATTTAATTGCTTCAAATAAATTCAACCTAATTTCCCCCAAACTACATGACAAGCACACTTAAAACAGTGCATGTAGAAGGATTATTCATGCAGAACCAAAACATTCTTTTCTGGCTGATGTGATATGCTTTTCTGAATGATCAGCAGTGATTACAGCTGATTCAGCAACTGATCCAAAAACTCCAAACACACACTTTTAGGCTAAAAAAAACATTTTCTGTTCACTTTTATGGTGGTTGGTTTAGCTTAGCATAAACACTGGAACAGCTTACCTGGTGTCTCCAAGAGTAACTTGTTTGTTTAATACATATAAAACAGTGACTTGACATGTTTACATCAGTAAAAGCATGTATGTATTTGAACCGATTAACAAAATAGATTAAATTAGATATAACATGATAGTTAATGAGCTTGATTAGTGGTGCTAGTAAGTAGATTTTGGTAGCTTTAGACAGAGCCTAGGTAGTTGTCCACCCCTCCACCCCCCCACTTTCATTGTCTATGCTAAGCTAAGCTAACTTGCTATACTTTCATACTGTATTTAGCAAAGAGGCATGGGGGTGACATTGATCTTCTTGGCAAAAAAATCAAATGAGTGTATCTAAAATACTGAACTAATGCCAATTCAGTGTTTTTACATTGTTGCACAAGTACTTTTACTTCAGTTAAGGATATGAGTACTTCTTCCTAACCACTGACTCAGTGCATCCTATTCTTGGGATCTGAGCTTCAGTAATGTGTCATGATTTAAAGCCCCATCAGTGAGGATAAACACTGTCTGGAACAGTTAGTTTTTCACCTGTCTACAGCATTCCGTGCTGGAATGGCGTGCACCCACACCTGCTGACAGACGAGGCCACTTTGAGGCATTCACACATCAGCACTGATCAAAACCAGAACTGTGATGTTCTTCATCAGCTCTAAGACGGATACCTGGATCTGCTTCCTCCCCACTTTGTTCATGACTCGTACATGCTGATACAGAGCGAGGCGACGGAATCCATAGTTTATTTCTCACCACAGTCAGTAGCAGCGAGTGAGAGACTGAATGCTTCTGACAGGTTTTTCTGTCATCAAGTAATATGGTTTTCATGTCTGCATGTGTGGAGTCTTTGAAGTTCTTGGTCGAGACAGAGACTCACCTGCTTACAATGAATCACAATTTTTTTTGGCAACTATAAGACCCATCCCAGCTGGCACTATATGTATGTTATGTTCTGCCTGTGCAGATAGAGAAACACAGTATGTTTAATGGAAAGAGTTGAGCATTTCTTAGGCCAATGATTAAATTAGTTATGTGGTGATGTGCTGTTATGTTTTTCTTTTAGCTCAGGGATGAAAATAATAATTACCTTGGTCATAGTCTTTCTTCCTTGAGCATAGAAAATCCTTGAGGGCAAGGTTTTAATGGTTTAATTATAAAGGTGTGTGTTCAAAAGGACAACGAGCTCAGAGTATGGCTGGTTTCCTGGCAATGATATGCTGTCTTTTTTATTATTGTTATATAGCACTAAGGTCTGTAATTATAAGACGTATGGGCCAAATTGCTCTGTTTCACATCTCTGGAAAAGTAAGACAATGGTCTTTGACATAAAGACAAGAACAAATGGTAAAATTTATGGAATTAGCACTGGCTCTCATGTGGATATCTCTTAGGCCATACTGAGCTGTCTGAGGTGATGACTCACAGTTTTACTACTAATTCCAGTGGAATTATTAATAGTGGCACAGCCTCAGCACAACCATAATCATGTCATCACCATCATCTTCATCATCGTCATTGTGAACTTATTTGTCAAATAGGCATATTGGCCTTCTGGGTGTCCAGTGAGAAGATTGATGCCACTTTCATGACTATTAGGATAAATATCAGCCAGGTGAAACAGTCTGCCAGTACCAGAACTCACCAGTTAACATGTTGCATCTTGTTTGTATTCAGAAAACAACAACGTTCGATTTTGTGTGCACTGACAATATAACAATACTGTATAACTTGAGTTTAATTGGATTTAAACAAAGGACTTTGGCTGCCACGAGGCATCTAAATTTGCTTGTATTTCAGGCACTTGATGTGCATACTGCATCAGAGCTTTCAGAAAAGTTTCACTGTTGTAAATGCTGTTTAAAAGTTGGACACTCACAATTTTGACAACTTTGAAATGAAGGCCCTGTAAAACCACTAACTGCTGTTTGGGAGATAATTCTGAGAGTTACACCGATGATCTCTAGCTCTCTGCAAGAAAGGGAATATGCTTTAAAGCAGCTTTTAGCACCTTTAGTTCTAAAGGAACAGATATCGCTATCAGAAGTTGGTAGAGACCAGAAACTGAGCAGTTGGTGGACATAAACATAACTTCAAATCAAATGAATGCTAACGCTGCAATGTACAGTAACTGCTGGGTGTGTACTGTAAATAATCAGCTGTTTAGTAATTAGTTTACCATAGCAGTTCACAGCTTGTAGCTGCCAAAAAACAGGAACTGCTGTATTTCCCAAAATGGTGAAATATTCCTACAAATCTTACGAAACTAGCATGTTTATGAATATGAAAAACTAACATGGCAAAGGAAAACGCGGTCTCTCCAACAGGCTCCCAGTCCTATGGAAAAAGCTTTGAGTAGCGTACAAGTATTCCTGTCTTGATCCGATCGGTCTTGTTTTATGTTTCCAAGCCTCAAAATTACAACAAAAACAGAGAATGATCCAACATGCACCCGGAGCAGCCCCTGTTAGGTTGTTTATTTTGTCTGCTGTCAGAGAGAAGAGAAAGCTACAGAGAAAGAAAGAGGCTGCTGAAAATCCCAGTTATAAAAAACTCTTTTTTAAAAGTCTAACATATTGAAAAGACAAACAAGAGGTTACTTTGTTGCGGTGGAACAAGGGGCAAGGCTTCAACAGGGAAGAAAGGGGCATGTTGGTTTTGCAGATAAGTGATCCATGTCCTGCTGCCAAACCTAAACAAATTCCATTTCAGACAGCTCACCTCTGTGGCTCATCTTTATCTCCTCTTCTATCTCAACTGAAGGCACTTGACATTTGTGGAAGGGTTTGGGTAGGATCGGAGCTCGCTGCAACTGGAACTCATTCAGCCTCATGTGTTTGCCAAAAAGAAAACACACAGTTGTAAGACTATGCATAACCAGGTTGCTTCCAGACGTTCTTACATTCTTAACAATGTCTTATACATTAATTTATTATAAATGAGTTATTTCAGATAAGACATGCTCAGTTAGGAAACAGACAAACAAACATAAACCACTGACTTGCCCAGTTATACATACTAAATAACCATGTTTTCTCTTGTCTATTCAATTTTCCATCATTACATTACTCAAACAAGTAGTTTTAATAAAAATAAATATTGGTATGTGTTTGTGTGGTGAGTGGGAAAAGTGCTGTTGTTATGAGCTACAGTCCACAGAATCTACACCACACAAACACAAGCAGACACTTTTCACTGGACTGCTCATGGAAATGTTCATATGACAAGGTCTGTTTACATTTATCTCAGCATATTGGGCAAATAAGAACTGATGTGGCACCTTAGTGGATTATCTATATAAAAAAACCATGAATTGACATAAAGAAGGAGGTTTCCTTGTTTGACCTTCTTCTGTGTCTGGCACCATTTTATTTTGTATTCATTCATTCATTCATTTTCTACCGCTTAGTCCCTGAACGGGGTCACGGGTGGGGCTGGAGCCAATCCCGGCCGGCAAACGGGCGAAGGCGGGGTACACCCTGGACAGGTCGCCAATCTATCGCAGGGCTAACACATAGACGAACAACCACACATACACGCACGCACTCCTATGGGCAATTTAGAGACACCAATCAACCTAAGCTGCATGTCTTTGGTCAGTGGGAGGGAACCGGAGCACCCGGAGAGAACCCACGCAAGCACGGGGAGAACATGCAAACTCCACACAGAAAGGTCCCAGGTGGGGCCCGAACCCGGAACCTTCTCGCTGTGAGGCAACGGCGCTAACCACTGTGCCACCGTGCTGCCCCTTTTTCTGTTGGCCTACAGAAATTTCCATGTTCATGTTGGGAAATGTTCTTTCCCTGTGTCTTTCCCTGCTGCAGCTTTCTGACCACCAGAGAGTGGATCCACTGGGATCATGGATGGACTTTGTCAAAAGACCTGTTGGTAACTTCCCTGGAAAGTGTCGCAAACGCAAACGGCCGCTGGTAAACCCAGTAGATGGACTGTAAAAGAAAACTGTACTTTTAATGATTATTGATGCACTTTATTTACTACATCAATTGATAAACAAGACAAACTTGATTTTCACATCTGGTTTGATGCATTTTGTACATCTGTCCTTGATTAGCCGGGCCCACCTGGTCCTCCAGGTCCTCCTGGCCCACAGGGACCTCCTGGTTCTCCTGGGGCTGAAGTGACCCAGGAAGTTCTTCTCCGGGATTTCAAAGAGATGATTAAAGGTAGAAACTGGTCTTGTCTGCTTCTCCACATGTCACTACAAGGTTTTCTTTCCATAATTTTGTAGAGATAACCTACAGTTAAGCATTTGATAATGCACATTTCTATGTCCATAATATTATTGTTATTTTGTATATTGTCACATAATAGTCATGTATGTTTTGGTATGTCACCAAATTTTCATGAGAGATTAGTTTGAAAATGAATGTTGACTCATTTTACACTGTAAAAACTGGATGCGTTTCTGTCAGAGGCTACAGAGAGGAGAGCAGCAGCACTGGACAGACAAGCCAGCCCCAGCCAGCTGCCTACGGCTCTCCTCACTCTGGAGGGGATGACCTCCTACCGGCGAATAGAGGAGGCTTTCCACTGTAAGCTCAAGGGACCTGTGGTGGTGGACAAGAAGACTCTGGTGGAGCTCCAAAACTTTCAGACAGTATGTTTGTTTGAAACCAAGTAAATGTTTATGAACTGGTTCAACATTGCTCACTCTTTGTGGCTAACAATGTACATTTTAGCTAATCCTGCCCCTCGTGGTTACATGGTTTGTTTCTGGCCCATTTGCTTCTCTGTCTTAGCTGTGTTTGAAAGAGTGAGTGTTTGGTAATCATTGCTTAGTTTGCATGTTGGGGAATTATTAGAGGATCATCCCCCTTAGTGGTTACTGGCACTGGCAAAGCATGTGGTGCCACTCTGAGGCTCAGACTGGTTCTTTGGTTAAAAATATCTACTTTTTCAATTCTACACTTCACTCTCTTGGCAGCATACAAAAGGCACTCTGTCTCTAACTTGGAATAAAATGTGGAGAGGACAGAAATAGACACTGTTTGAAACAGCATGCTGTAGTGGAAGAACTATGCCCTGCTGGGATGGGCTAGCAAGACTGAAGGGGGGATAAAGACGTGTTGGCTTTGGTTATATTTTATGTAGGCCCTGTTCATGTTTTAGCAAAGTCAGATGTAAAAAGGCACTCAATAAAGAAGGGCACAAGGAGGCTGAGGAATAAAATGGGGTCTAAATACAGGGCTTCAGTAGCCTTAAAAGATAAGGCCGGCAAATTTTGTGTACTCACCTTAATGTCTGTGGATCCAGAACCTGGGTTAGCCTATTCATACTTGCCATAGATCTCCAGAAACTATTAAGAACATGCCAGTGAGCCACACAGCTGCACTGGGTGAGATGTTTCTTTCTCACAAAATGCATAGAGTTCGTACCATCCATGCATCCATGGTGTGTAGGCTGTACTGTATCCTCTGGGTCTTTAGGCAAACTACTCAGAAAATGGTGATGTGACCCCACTGTGATAGTAAGTCACAACAGCCCTGCTAAGCCTATTTAAACTGCACTGTTTACTCCTCCTGGCTCAGGATTGTACATCATTTCATTTAATAAAGAGTTAATAAAGAGTTGGATATGATTCTCTCTATGCTATGAAGCATACTAAATGTTAGTTAGCAGTAAGTTAGCTCAGTCGCTAATGTTTTTTTAAAAAACATATTTGCCTCAAAGCTGTGTGTAGGGCTCACTGGTAGAGGGGTTTATACTCCACTGTGGACTCTCTGTTTGTCAAAGCTCACCGTTGTCAAGACATATTGCTGTTAGTCAGCAGTGCAAATTTGCAGGCCAAACTTTAAAAAAACTGGGCTCGACATGAAGAATTTGTACTGATGTATTTCACCTGGATAAGTGAATTCATTGATCACCATTAGTCCACTGAAATGACCTGATTTCTTAATAAAATTTAGCTGTAATTCTGCTGTGACTGGGACTTACTTTTGAATTAAACAAGACAGTGTTCTTTAGCCAAGCCTTTATTATGAACTCCCAGAGGAGTTGTATGTATAAGGAGCAACCATTGGATTATTGCTCTATGTGTAAACATATTTATGCAGATTTTCTGTGCTTTCAGCCACCTGCTAAAGGAGCTTTCCTCAGAGGGTCAGGAATGGACCAGTCTACTGGGAGATTCACAGCTCCCATCACTGGGATCTACCAGTTCTCTGCTAATGTCCACATTGGTAAATCAGAGTAACTTCCCTATGGGGTATTACATAAACAAAGGCCTTACAGCCCTTGCACGCCTGCATTCTGCAGCTACATGGTTAATTAGACGTCTTCTCAAGACACTGTTGGAATTTTGACTGACATCTCCTGAATCCTTCTGTTGCTGTTGTTGAAATTGTTGAGGCAGAAACTTATCATGTCAGAAATATAACATATGGGCAACTGGGGTATCTGTCTTCACTGCAGCCAAACAAACCACCATTGTTTTAATAAAGAAGGAAGTCAATAATCTGGCTTTTATTTGTCAATATTCTGTCTTTCAATTACCTTTAATTAAAGAATGTGCATACACTAACTACTGCTGAAAAATGCGGACCAGGGTTTGATTAGCCTAATGAGGACTGTAACTTGTAAGACTATTGCAATTTAATATGTCTTTGTGAGCAAGGGGTGAAGTGATATTTTTATAATTGTGAACATTTGACCTCCTTACAGACCATAATGAGGTGAAGAAGAGTAAGAGTCAGCTCAAGGCCAGGGACAATGTGCGGGTGCTGATCTGCATTGAATCCCTCTGCCACAGATACACGTAAGTATTCAGCACCATTGTTAAATCCGTTAGAGAACTCATCCGCTGAATCCAAATCAAACATATGCTACCAAACATCATGTGGTTTTCATTTGTTATGGCTATGACACATACTGTTCAGTCATACCCCCACCTATCACCAGTGAGGATTAATAAAATTGATCTTGTGAGGTAATTAATCTGACCACACATTCTCAGGATTCTTGTTTTGACAGTTTGTTTGCTTTTCCCATGTAACAATGACATTTTACTGGTGTTTAATGCTGCCTTAACTTTCACCAGAATTTATGAGCTGTTAAAGGTGGTGTGCTGTTACAGTTTGTGTGGAACCAGTTTGACATTTCCTGTATGAAAGCAAAGAAGGTTTGTAAAAGAAATGTCCTCTTATTACTTGGAGCCCTCGTCCCTGTCGCCTAACTAATCTCTCCAGACACACCTTTGACACTAAGACTGAGCAGCACAGCAGTGAAATACCCTTGTATGGGATATGTGAGGCAGATATTAAAGTACTGGATACAGAGGGTCTACATGGCAAAAAAATGTTGAGTTCTTTCCAGTATTTCAGAATTTCTATTTACATAAAGTCAGAGAAAATTGCTGAAATGAATTACTCCCTGAAGTCTCCCCCAGACTGTGCAGAGCTCCACAGTCTCTCTTCTGGTGTGTTACAAAGAGGAAAACACATAAATAATATTATTATGATGAGTTACCTGACCCAGAAAGTGCTTGTCTTTTGCTTTTTCCCCAGCCCCAGCCAGTCTCACCCTCCCCACACACATGAAAATGCAGAGAATGTGAAGTATGGCTCATTGTGACGGCAGAGTGAAGACAAACATGTCTAATTTGCCATAAAAATGCAGCATTTTCCACTTAACAGGAGCCAGTAGTGTCACTATAGCATTGTTTTAGCCATTTACAGACTACGAGGAAACTGAGTTAAAAAGAAAGTCTGATATTTGGGAATATATTTAATCACTTTCTTGCTGGGAGTTATGTTACATTCGCACATGTGGATTCAAAAGGCTGGGCCAGTGACAGCTGCCATTCATTGTGAATGAGAGTTGGCTTTGCAGCCATGCGCAGCCCCATGGAGCTCTGAGTACATGACCAGCTCTACTGAGGAACATTCAACTTTATGTCAATATCCTCTGACGCAAGTGAGTGACAGTACAGCAACCAATCATGATTATTTTGATTCCAGCAGAAACCAAAGCATAGAGTTGTTCTCTGCTCCATTACTGTAATGAAAGAATTTAAAATGAAATGGAAGAAAAACTTAATCCCAGTTCTCTACAACTTGTCTTTTAGGAGTTACCCAGACATAATAAAGAACGACATATAGAAACAAAATGCCAACGTATGTATTGGTACATTGTACAGCAGATATATCAAAAAACAACTGGCCAGGAGAAGCAAAGAATGTAAATTATAAATTGTACATTGGCTCAAAGCAGCCAGCTCCTTTGTATATGTATTGGAGAATGCAACGTTAGAACTTTGGTAAAATCCTCTGAAGATGAAAGTCTGGCAGCTATAGCACACCGTCCAGAATAGAGTCACTGAGCCAGCTTCCACTGAAGCAGACAGCAGCGGTCCATATTTATCCTATTGAGGAGCAGCACCGTGCCCACTTTGCTGGTCACGGAGCGGAGATTTGCCAGTGGAACTGACGGGTGTGTAGCTCCTCACCATTGCAACTACAATAGTGCACCGTCAAACTTCTTCTCTTGAAAGAAACTGGATTTGAATAACCAAAAACAAATAGACCAAAACAAAAAAAAACCAAAACAATCTCAGAGCACTGTGTCATGGCTTTAGTTATTCTGAACACGACTCATTTTAAAATGGTCTTGAGCTATGCAAATTTGACATGAATTGTTCCAAATGTAATATTGATTCAGAAATGTCCTTTTTAATATGACTGCAGCTCACTGGAGATGATTGTTGGATTAGAGAGTAACAGCAAGATATTTACCGTCAGTGTGCAGGGGCTGCTGGAGCTACAGGTAAGCAGCTTGCCAAGGGATGCACAAACAAAAAAGTCTGTAATCTTCCTGTTATCTCACTTGTACGTTCTCCTCTGCAGGCTGGGCAGTACACCTCCATATTTGTGGACAATGCAGCTGGCGCTCCCATTACAATACAGAATGGCTCCGATTTCATGGGCATGCTGCTTGGTGTATAGCCTCACACATGAACAGGGCATCATCTAAGCATTTTATTTTATTTTATTTTTTCAATGACCTGCTTATGAACATCATCACACAGTAGCAAACCACAAGGGAGGATTGAAGGAAGGAAGGAAGGCTGATATTGGCTGGACTGCTTATCAGATGGTTAAAGGACAAGGTGAAAAAGTCATGTGCACTGCCACTTCCCTGAGGAACTCGGGTGCCTGTTGCTTCACCAGTGGAGTAACCTAAAAATAAAGCAGTTATTGTCTGATACAGTATATTTTTTTATGTTCCCTGGATCAATGTCGGAGGAGCTAAGGAACATGAAAATGGCATTTATGTGTTTAATGTATATTGACATGTTGATTTTTTTGTCTACATGATCTCTTGTATACACATTCATGAACTATGGTTATTTGTTATCATGAGTTAAATTTCACATTATATAAGTTATGTGGTGCATAGACTGTGAGTACACTGGACAATTGAAATATGCTCAATTGAAAAAATATAGACATATGATCTTGATAGCTCACATATGTAATTACACATTTTGTAATATAACTATCACTGCATTGTTAGCTATGTTAGCAATGTCAGTGGGTCACTACACCAAAATATCTAAACAGCTTTTAGACAGATTGTCATGAAATTTTGTGCAGACATTGATTGTTCCCAGGGGATGTATCCTTACAGAGTTTGGTGATCCCCTGACTTTTCATTTTGACTTGCGGTGACAGTTATGGTTTAGATTGCAGATTGCTATAAAATGTTGAAGAGGCATCATAACTACTGTTAGTATGGTAACATGCTAAACTAAGATGATACACATGGTAACTACACCTGCTAAACATCAGCATTTTAGCATGGCCATTGTGAGCATGTTAGCATGCAGATGTTTACTATTACCTCAAATAACTATTGTGCCAAAGTACAACCCTTTAGCTGTAGACCCTAATTGCATATTCACATTAAAATGGAACAACAGCGCTCTTGCGTTGTATGATTGGTCAGTGTAATAATTACCACTCCCAGTGGCACCTGATGGCGTCAGTGGCACCTAAAACCCCTTTTCCATCATTACCACTCCCAGTGGCACCTGATGGCGTCAGTGGCACCTAAAGCCCCTTTTCCATCACTGGTACTGGCTCACCATGACTCAACCCTACTCGAGTCCACTTGCTTTTGGTACCAGCTGTTTCATTTTCCACTGCAGATAGTCCGCTCCCATCCCCAAGGTGTAGCTGGTTGTCACAGCAATGCCTCATTACACTGCCATAACATCATCAGCAACCGACACAGTAACAATGGAGGACAATGAAGGTATGCTGTTCTTGATTCTCCGTATGTGGCTGTTTGTCACAGCAAAGAGAGATTTTGTTTTGGAAGCAGCTGAAGGAAGAAAGACAAAAGACAAACAGGAGAGTATAGTACTATGGAGTTCAAACAATGAGACAACTCTGGTTGCTCAAAGGCGATGCAAGAGGGTAAGTTACGCGAGTTCTCTGACCAATAGCTAGCCTGTAGTGTTTACACGTCACCGTTTGGTATCACCTCCCCTCGCATGGATCCTTGACGGAGGTGATACCAAAGATAGAACTAGGTACCAGGCACCATCCCCAACATTTGAGTGGCGAGCTGAGTCCAGTCGAGTAGAGCCAGTACTAGGCGGTGGAAAGGGGGCTTAAGTTACAATGCTAATGTTGCTACAGACTCAAAGAGTGTTTTTGAGGAAAACATTGTAGCTACAGCTACATATTAATATTTGGCCGATTTGTTATTGTGCAGTTGTGGAAATTCAGTAACACAAATAATTAGATTTTCAGATGGCTGTTGGCTACATATACAAATATCAGCACAGTTCAGAATAAATTCCAACTTTCGGCACACCCCCTCTCTGCTCTGCATGCCCTGCACATTTGTGTAAAAGCTCTTTTTCCATGCTAATATGAATACACATTTCATCTTGTTTAAATGATTTCCACATGCACCTTGTGTCTATAAAAAAAACTGTAAAAGAGCAATTTTTGGGTAGATTATTTTTACAGTGCCTTTTGTGTTGTCATTTACAATCTGCTTATTTTTGCTGTATTTTATTATTGTCTTGACATTTAGATTTTTGTAATTTATCATAAATGACAAAGCATCGACATTGAAAAGCATTGAAATTTTCTATTTATGTTTGAGAAAATGTATCAATTGCATGTTGTTACACTGTTGAAAACACAGATTATTGCAAGAAAAAATGGTCTTTTTACTATCTTTATTACCCATAATATTCTGAAATTTGAAATTAAACTCTTTAAAACATTGCCATTAGGTCTCTGCACATAATAGTATTGCTTATTATATGAGATGAGGGATCACTATCAGAATTTTCTGAATTTCTGATTTATTCTGATATAAAAACACATCTGCAATGCAACCAAACCTTACATTTCTCGGTGGCATCATTTCAATTGTAAAATATCCAAAACACCCCAAATACCTGTGTAAACACTGGCAGACTGCCAAATAAATTCACATCTGTAGTTACCTTTGGAATATTACTAAAACATCTTGGTACATGTCATTCAGGATTGTGCATCAGGGAGCTAAATCTAATGGCAATTAGCTTTTGTCCAGGCTTTAATTAAAACTGATTAGCTGTGGTCAATTAAAACACAGTGCAGCAAAGATAAATTAGGCTTTTATTACTACTCTTTGGTGGTTATTTTAAATGTTTTGGTATATTGTTTCTTGGGTGGTCTCACAGGGCAACAATAAAAAGTTCTTAGACTTTGTTGCACAAATTCCTGTCCAGCCAGTAAAATGAGCTTGTTAGCATCATTGCATCAATGCCTTATAATAGAAGCTATACATGGAAGCATTGCTGAGATGCCAAGTGTCACATACCATACCCAAAGAGCCAACCACAAGAACGTTGCACCTACGTGTTATTTCAGCCACCTACTGTAGCACACATTTCAAACTGAAATGAGCTGCTTGCTTGGAAAACAAACATGACTTCTTTTAGTTTTAAATAAAGTGTTCAACACTTCTAGGTAGCGGTAAAAATGTGGTCTTATTTCCCCACAGCCTGATCTTGACATAGACTACCAGGGAGAAATATTTTGAAAATGAGAAAGGACAATAAAAATGTTAAAAGTAGAATTTACAGTGTACATTGGGTGACTGGGTTTGCTAAACAGAATTCACTTTTCTTTTTTCTACATGCTGTAATCTTTCAACGTGCTTAACTGCGCATGGGTGATGGACAACATGTACCTTTTCACATAATATTTGCCTTATCATTGCTCAAGAAACAAGAGAATGGCAGACACTTGTGAGTTTTGATTGTCTTATGTTTTTTAAAATGTGTTTAATGATAGCTATGTGAGCATGCCGCAACGCATTCGCTGCCCTGCAGTGGAACTCGCAGCCTGCCAAATTGGTTGCGAAACCACCCTGTGCCATGACTCTGACAGGAATTTCCCATTGCCCCATTATCAGCATCAGACGAGCTGAGTGATTGCAATTACATCTGCCCAAATGCTAAGAGCAGCTGTTTTTTCTCTTTTCCTTCAGAAAAGTGGGGTATTATGAATGGTCCCATTGTGAATCTGTGAGGTTTCTGTCAGCCCTGTAAACCAACAGAGTTGTGCTGTGTAGCTTTAATGAGTCCTTAATTATGAGATTCTTCTATCTTAGTTACTGACACGTTGGGTGATGGCTTTAAGCAAATCCCCCTGTGTACAGGTATCCTTAAAACACAGGTAAACCAGAAGGGAACACTGCGCATTTTTAACATCTTATGCTTTGGAAAATTCATGTAAAACAGTGAAATCAATCCAGGATCACTTCTAGTTGTAATTTAAAATGTGGAGTCTACTCCAAATATAAGCAGTCATGCATGGTTATGAAAGGTGGCCATAGTTGGAACCCAGATATGAAGAGGACCCCATGCATTCTGCCTTTCTTCTCTGTTTGTCAGCACTTCCAAACATGGATACCTGCAGAGCGGAACAGACAGTGAGACTCTCTCTCAGGGATGGCAGACTCCTGTCTGCTATATTATGTTTTTAGCATGCCTTGGATGTTTTCACAGCAGCCTAAGTTACTCCAAACAGAGGTGAGCAGTCCAAGTCCTGCTGATACCGAAGCTGCCCTAAACAAATCTGTTGCTGTGATACAGTCCCCTCTGTCCTCTGTGGAGAAGAAAATGAAACTTACTTATCCCATAACACTTTCTGATAAGACATTCTTTATAAAGAGTTTATATGATACAATTCATTTTGTCATACTAATGGTTATTAAATAATTTACTACTGGTTTATCAAATAGTTATAAGCACTTAGTAAGAACAACCTTTTGTCTTTTGTCTTGTTGAAAATCCTCACTTGTTGTCTTTCTAGCTGTTTAAACTGTTTTAATTAATATTTTTAAACCAACCCTGGTTACATATGTAACAGATAGTGAATTTTAGATTAGATTAGATTAGATTCAACTTTATTGTCAATACCCAAGGCAACAGGATGCAGTTTAGCATCTAACCATAAGTGTAATAACAGCAGTGCAGAGTGTGAGCATCTACAGTCTGTGAAGTCAGTCAGAACTAATGTACTGGTGGATATGTACAATTGATATCTACAGTAAGATATGTAGGGTAATGTATGATGTACAACAGACTATGGATTCAAATTACAAATCAAAGGTCAAGGTCAAAGTGCTTATTTGTCATAGGCACAGTTAGGAAACATGTTTCCCTGTACTTTGCTGTCCACACGAATGCCACATAAAACAAGTGAAATATAAAGTAGATGAGCAATAACACAAATCTAAACAGGCAGTAAAATCACAAATCTCGTGCTGGGGGTGGGTGGGGTCCTTGAGGATGGAGGCAGCTTTCCTATGCACCCTGGTAGAGCGGGTCGTTTCCTAACCGGAGGATTAGCGGTTCAATTCCCGGCTTGTCCAGTTAACATGTCGAGGTGTCCTTGAGCAAGACACTGAACCCCCAGTTGCTCCCGGTGATGTCACTGGTGTGTGAGTGCGTGAGTGCTTGGGAGTGCGAATGGGTGAATGGCCAAATAATGTGAAAGCGCTTTGAGTGTGCTGTAAAAGCATAGAAAGGCGCTATACAAGTATAAGACCATTTACCATTTAAGAAAACCAGTGCAATGGGATGACATGGAATGAAACAGTGCAGAATAAGAAGACAACAATAAGTTCAATGGATGTAAATAGTGCAAAGATAAAGATAAATATACAGTATCTGCATATGAACAGTGCGCAAATGAATACAGAGCAGTATTCTGTGAGCAGAGTATGTGCAAATTAACAGATCACTTCAGTGTTACAGGTAATAGAAGTGTATTGCACTAGTCCTGGGAAGGGAGATGAGAAGGGGTGAGGTGTGTGTATTGGTATAGAAGAAGGCAGTTGGGGTCAAAGGGATTTAACACATAATGTAACAGATAATGAGTAGCTAAATTACACCAAATTATTTTATGAACACATTTTCTTGTTAAGAACATCTCCTGCAGTATTAATGGCACAAATAGTGTGTGCGTGTGAGATAGAGTGCATGTGGGGATGCGCTCCGGTGGCTACGTGCCTCGCGTGCCCAAGCTTGATTGTAATGGCGGTAACCTGTGTCTGGTGTGTCTCCGCACAGTTGAGTTGTTTTTTGTGATATGGTCGGCAATTAACGATGGTATCTTGCTCAGTGTCAAGTCTGTTTCATTCCAGGAAAGTTTTGAGTTGAAAAGTTTGACACTGTTATGCTGTGTTTTATATCGACTTACATGCGAGGTTAAACGGGCTAACATTTTCCAGGCCGCCATTTTACTATCTTAAACCTCTGTGGTACACATGGCGGCTGTATTAATTGTTTCCATTTGATGTATTTTGCTGTCAAGGGAGCAGCCCCCGATGTTATAGACACAGCTGATGAGCTTTGTGTGCATTGTGACTATCCTACCCAGGTATGGAGAGGCTTTAGTAGTAGTCTGTATTGTTAAGTGTATTCATGACTGAATTAGCCAAAAGGAACTGAAGCCCAGTTTTCATTCTTACCGTCATCTTACACTGTTTTTTGTGATAATTCTGTGTTCGTTATGTTATGATTGATTACTGTGGGTTTGAATTTATAAGATTGTTCTTTTCTATGGTCGGCTCCTAACATGTCATTCTTTATGTACCTGTTGGCAATTTTCTCAGATAATTCTGGTTGCTATTCACACTACATTCATTTCGAAAGTTTTGTCGTTGTAGTATTGTGGTTGCAATTACAATGTGATTAAATAAAAAAGCTTTCACTGACTGTAATCGAGGGAGCCGAGCCCAGTGTTACACAGACAGCTGATAAGATTTGTGCATTGACTGTCTTACCTAGGTACCAGTAACCAGGCA